AGCTGACCACCATCGGCAACTCGCTCGTTAGCCGGCTAGCTATCGCTCCGATATCTACAAATATCTTACCCCTGGGGTGAGGAATAAATCCAGATGCTTGTGGAGAAGAGACTGGTTCTGTGGATTGCTCAGAGAGAAGTTTCGTAAGAACTCGTGGGCTTGCCCCATGATATCTTCCATCCTCAAGTCCTCATTCTGAAAGAACAAAACAGAGCAAAACAAAAATACAAAAAAAAATACTGAAATTCAATCTTCAGTTTATTTGAAAAAGAATGACCTCAGCTGTCGCTCTGAGCGAGCGCTAAGATCAACTGAAAACTGCTGTCTAAACAAGGTATATGCTTTTCACTTTTCTTGAGCCTTCCATAGGGCTAAAATAGTTATTTGGACTTTTCAGGGGATATACAAACAAACAAAATCAAATTTCAAAAGATTACAGAATTTAATACACAGTACTTCATTTAGAGCAATTTCCAATTGAATGTCAAACACAAATCGGAATTGCTTTGTTTTTGTCTCACTTCGTCATGTGATCTCAACCAATCAGATTCAAAACTAAAACCAATCGCCACTTAGTCTCTCACGTTTTCCCGCGCTTTGTGCAAATTGCATCCGGGCTTTTTACTTCGAGTTCTTATTGGCTCCTCGTGACATTTTTCTTTCTCCTGATTGGCTGTTGTGATTGCTCAAGTTTTTTTTGGGACACTAAATCGAAAGTTGATCTGAGCTTTCGAGTTTGCAGTTTACCTTTTCATACGGTATTTGTAGTAACTCTAGGACTACAGTGTGAGCCCCCATGTTTCTCAATAATCTTTGCTCGTGTTTACGATTTTTTACACTGGGTGTCCCATAAGAAGAAACACAAAGATTGCTGAGGCGTTCCAAAATCTGTTGGTTAAAAGAAAATAAAAAGTAAGTTTTTAGACATGTCACTACGCTCAAAAAGGTGTGCCTTAAGCCCACAGGCTTCCATGCTACCGCGCCTTCCGCTAAACTTGCCAAATGAGAAGTCTCTTACCGCCTCAGTTTTCTTGTAGTTCTTTAGCGAAACAGTGTCTGACTGTTCGACCTCCAGCTCAATGGAACCATCGCTAACCATCCTTTGACGCTCTACCTGGAAAGTGAAAAGAAGATTCCCGTCTTTTCTCGTCCTGGCTCAAGAGAAACAACGAAAATAATGACGCCTGTTTCGCAAGTGACTTTTCACAGAACCCACCTTTGGACCACCTCCCTCGCTATCACTACTAGCCGGGTCCTGAGCACGTGAAAATAAAAATACCATTATAAAGTAAAACAGCAACAAAAACAGCTCAAAATAACCTTTAATAATATTAATCCAAAAGAGCTGAGATGTCGGTTGAATTTAAAGTTCCTTAGAGGCTTTTCCATAATTACTAACGAGTTCAGTTTTGAAGCCAATGACATTTATGTACGAGATTTAAAGACAGTTTTTAAGACACATGCTGGAGAGGCAAGTTCGCCATCACCGATTTTTTTTTCACTGTAACTGGTTCTTTTTTTTTTTTTTTTTTTTTTTTTCCGCCTCAAGCTTAGCGTTTCTACCAATTTCACCGCCTTTGTTCCCTTTTTCCAGCATGACAATTTCTTCTGATGGACGAAGTCACATGACAAACTTATACAAAGACCCTATCACTCATTTCTCACCTGTGCCGTGTTCAAACTGACAACTTCCAGATCCTGCTGTTCCAGGCTATCTTTCCTCTGCTCCGGCTCCTTACTGCTGCTGCCTCCCTCCATCCTCAGCCCGACCAGCCCGGGTGTTATCTTCCTGACTCTGCTCTCGGTAGGAAGATCCTTCTTGCTCTTGTACACCCACAGCTCAGATTTTTCCACTAACAACCGAAGCTCGTCTAAATCAGACTTGATCTGTTTGTAGTTCTCCACATCACTATTGGACACCAGTAGCTGAACCTGTGCCGTTGAGATAGTAGACATTAACAACGCAGCGTTCAAACGACTAAGCATGGTAGCTCTCAGGGTGTCAAAACCAAATTGTCTCACAGGAGTTATAAACAACAACACAACCTTGTACTTCACGGTGTTTTAAAAGCGTCTAACTCTGTGTTTGTAAAGCTCATATCAAAATTGTAAATCAACAAGATAACCGTGATTTAATAGGCTTCGACGTAACCTAGGCGGATGTTCCAAATCATCGCTTCCCTGAACAGGAGTAGGATACGCTACTGGCACGCTAGTTAGCCACCACCCCCCCCCCCCCCCCCCCCCCCCCCCCCCCCCCAACCCCGTCCCAACAACCCCTCCTTCCGCCCCTTAATTATTTTTTGTAGTTTTACTGACCTGTTTAAAAGCTTGTAACACCTCCTGCCTCTGACTAAAATGTCTGAAAAGAAGCTGTAAAGCTCCTGTCACCAGGGGAGGATAATCGTGCATACATAGGTAAAGCAGGACACGGAGAAAGGTGCGGCCCCCCTGACCATCAAGGTCAAGGTCAATTTCGTTAAGTCCCCTGAAACGAAAAAACATACAAATAAAAAGAAAAAAAAACTAGTCAGGTTTAGTGTCCAAAACGTCGCAATTACATGAAATCGTATTTATATGTCAGCCGTCAGATAGACTCATTCTAGAAAACAATAGATTTCCCTCTTTTTTTACATCGATGTTAACATGGATTGTAAAACGAGACTGACAGAAACGGGTTAAAAAAAACCTTTTGATATTTTCAAGAAATAAACTAAGGAAAACTTACGTGGAGCCTCCAAATATAGCTTCAGCTTGCTGACTGATGTTTTCCAAATCAATCCCTAAAAATAAAATATTAATCAATAGAAAGTAAACCATTCTGTCACGGGTGTCCAGTTGGTAAAACGAAGCGTGAGGGGAAACGACGCGACGGTAGCGGAGGAGAAAAAAAACCAGGGAAATTTGGATCGATGCGCACAATGAACTACGCGACGCGACCCAGTCCTCCCTCGTTTTCGCTCTGCCATCATGCTGTTTACTATTTCGCCATGTTTTATTAACTGAACGCCTGGAACAGAAAAAGCATGAGGAAAACAATCATACAAAGAAAATTGCATCACTCTTTCAGACGCATGCTTCACATCAGTACAGGTCGAGTTTTAATGCATTGGGCTTTAAAATAATTGATATATTTCAAAAATAAAATATCTTAGGACGATTCAACAGGTTTACTATTTTATTTAAACAAAATTCATACTTTTCTGCGCAGAAACGGTTAAAGTTTTAAATAGAAATAACAAAAACCTGTTTTAATCATGTAGAAACGTTTTTTAGGTCATTATGGGAGGTAAAACATTTTCATGATATAATAATTTCACTATTTCTCTTAGTGTTAAAACTTTAGCCATGAGTTTAGATCGTTTTAGATTTTCCCGATGTTTACTGTGCAGGATCGTTAAAGCATCTAATAAGTAAGCCACTTCCGGTTACATCAGAAGCGCACCCGCGAAATGTTCAGTTAATATTTAAACCTAAATTCCCTTACATCAGTATGAATATTCTCCATACAGTTCTCTATACATTTCCTAAGGTGCTGACAGGGAGAATTTGTTTAACAATCAAGAGCTTCTTTAGTTGCTGATCATTTCCTATATTCTCATGACCTTAATGTGTGACTCAGGGCTGATATTGTAAGGAGAAGTTAGATGTTAGTCACTCTTAGGGCTCGAGGGGCTAAGAAGGAGTTAAGTGTCTCTTGATGTTTAAATCATTTTAACGTTATGACGTACAGTTAGGAGGTCCGAGGTAATGAGGTACACCATCTTTATCAATTTTACAGCGTCGTTTATTTCCTGGAAATAAAATGTATAGATCAGCCAGTCAATAATTCAGCCCGTAAAAAGACTTTGCCACCGTCCACACCAAACTGGCTAAGTTTTAAAATGGATCGCTGTTTCAGCCCCTGATGAATGTTGGAACATGCGCGTGTGATGCTCCAAGGATTACGTGGCCATTGAATGTCAGTGTTTTCGCAAAGCTCCGGTTATACCACGTGATCAAAGAGGCATTTTCAAATTATTTTACTATATAGACCGTTTTTAAAAGAGATCTCTTCCCGCTGACTAAAAATGCCCCTTGAGTAAAGACGGTAAGCCAAACTGAACTAAGACAAGATATTATTTACTCTATTAAGTTTACATGACGAGTAGATCAAAGTTAAATTGATAAGGATAGTTTTAAGAAATATGTGTGCGTACTTGTGTACGTGTGCATTTGCGTGTATGTGTACGTGTGCATGTGCATGTATGTGTACGTGTGCGTGTTCGTATGCGTGTACGTGTAAGTTTAAGTGTACGTGTACGTGTTCGCGTACGTGTACGTGTACTTTTACGAGTGCATATTTTATAAGCGGCAAAAAAAAGTTGTACCATTCTCTCCTCCCATATCAGCCAAGCCTGCGTTACTTTCATCAAAATCTTTTTTGAAGATTGTCAGCAGACTGGAAATGCGATAATCAAGTCGAACGTTCATTATAAACTCCAGAATTTCAATGATCTTGGCCTTGGTCTCCATGACAACGTGGTCAATCTCGGTCTCGGGCTTGGGGCCTCCTTCAGGTTGCTGTGTGAGCCCCCATGGATCTTGGTTCCCTCCTAACGCCATACGTGTCATAATTGCGCCCAGATTGTGAATACTTCGCATCACATTGATCTTCTCACCAATCCCACCAACTGGAAAAAAAAAAAAAGTCGAAGAGGTCAACATCGGATAAGTTCCCCATCGGAATTCAACGGCTATGTGAGACCAAACAAAGTTTCCTCTTATGGTTTCACTAGCTCTGTCTGAATTTCCTCTCGGACTTCGTTAAAACAACAGCCCGAAAATGAAGAGCATCTTTTTTTTACGCCTTATCTCCCCAAGGCTTTCCCCGGAAATATTACCAGTATCACTTGATTTATGCCTAGATTTCCAGGCGCTCGTCCAATCATAATAATGTACCGAGAACACCTTACCTATAAAACTTTAACACCACTTTGCACGGTAAAATCAAAATAAATTATAACAATAATACGATTTTGACGATACGTTACTGCGACTTTATAATGATAGCAGTAGGAAATAACCTATTTTTCCCATGAGGCAGAGTTACCTTTGCCACGAAACTACATAAAGACAACACAACAAAATCTATCTTGCCTGTTGGTTTTTCTGAGGTTCTGATGCCGCCATGAGCTCGCTGCTCACAATCTACGATTGACAGCACTGTTTGAGTCAGACGAAGTAATTCACTGAAGCCATAGAAACCAAAGTAGATCAGATTCCTTGCGATCTGCACAACCTACGACGAGTATAGCAAAACAAACATGAGGTGTAACTCCAAAGAGAAATATAGACCAGCGACGGTCCAAGAATTTCTTATTTTAGGGTCCAAACTATGATAGAGCAAACTTTTTTTTATCCACACTAAAGCCAAAATGAGATGAGAAAGATTTCGAGACAAGTAAATTCTGCTGATGCGCAAATTTTGGTGTCAACAAAATTTGAGCACCTCAAGCCTGATATGGGAGAGAATGGGTCCTAAGATTTAAGACTCTCCAATCAGCGAAGAAAAAAACTTTAACAACAATCTTGACCAATCAGAATCAAGGCAAAAACCAACCGCGAAGTGGTTCGTTTTCTACGCTTAGTGCAGGTAAGGTGTTTTGGCCTCGACTTCTGTTTGGCTGTGTTTTGTTTTCAACTTCTGTTTGAAATTCTTCAAGATGGTGTTAAGTTACGGCCCTAACCTCAAAAGTAAGTTTATTTTGTTCCTTATCGCTGAAAGACCAAATGTTGCTGCTGATATTTTGAAGGTAATTCTCCACAAATGAAATAACTCCTGAAAATCTCAGTCTGTTCTCTTCCCTCTCCTCTCCAACCGCAAGATGCTGATCATACCTGAAGCCGAAATAAATACCTGTATTAACCTCGTTTTTCAATTCCCTAGTGATTCTGGCGACCTGATTGGTCGCTCGCTCCCAACCGCACCTTTTTACAAGCCACAAGAATGGAACAAAACAACCGATCAGATTTAAGTGCTTGTAAATTGTACCAAATACAACTGCGGAGAAATGTAATAAATACGAATGTTCCCTGTAGAAAGACAAACAAACAAAGAAATAGCAAATCAGATTTTGCTTGTGGCGGTCTACTCACATTTCAATGCTCATCTCAGTTGGGATCTCAGACCACAGTCTGGCGTACTTAACAGGTGTAACTGGTTCTTGAGGATCCCGATCTATGTGCATGTGGAGCATCAACCGACAAAAAGCCGCCCTTAGGTCACAAGACAGATCTTTGTCTGCCATGCATCTAAAGACATCACACAAAAAATATATATATTCAACATCGTAAGCTTCCTCAACACCCAGTTGTGCAAATATTGGTGTCCAAATCGACGGTGGGATTGGCTAACGAAGTATATGGTCCCTCAAGGGGGAAAGCTGTCAGAGAGTCACAGAGCTGTGCTGCAGTTGGAGTAAAGCTTCTATTTTACCGAACTAATTTTTTTTGTTTTCTTCTTAAAGCTGAGGGTATTTTTTGGCGGTGCAAACGATAAGTCAAATAATCCTAGCAAGGCTCCCTTGCAGAAAATAAATAAGACCACGAAAAGTAATTGAAAATGGAAATTATACGACACAAACCTAAGTATGAGGTCCACATCTAACTGCTTGCTGATGCTGTTGATAGCAAGATACTGTCTGTCCAGACACATCCGCGAAAACAGGTTCAACTGGTACCTAGACAAAAAAAGACGGTAAATTTAAAAGTAAGAATTCAGTTCACTTAACTACACAGCCCAAGTGTATGTCTGTTGGTCGCCATCTAGTGAATGCATGAACTTTGTCAACAGTGGAAAAATTTGGTTCGTTTTTTTTTTTAGTAAAACTTGCTGACGAAATACGACTTCACCGTCGGCTTACATAAAGCAACAAGACAACATTGCCTAAGAATTATTATGTGTCAAATGCAATCCGGGACTTCATTAATTATTCCTTTTTTACGGTGATTTGTCCACAAAACTCAGACCACTCTCTCGTCCAATCAAATGTTTAAACAAAAACCAAGCGCGTCTTGATCACTCACTTTTTCCCGCGCTTCAAATACTCTCCTTAGTTTTACTCGGCCGTTGTGATTAATTTGGTTTTGGTTTCATTACACTTCATCGAAAAGCCCTCTGAGAAAAAAGTTAACGAACCTATAGTAATCCAGGATTTTGACGTCATCTTTGACTCCAATCTTGGCACCTCGTGCCAAGTCTCTTTGCGATTTTTTTTTGTTACCACTATCCCATACAAGGAACACTTCTCCGTCAATTATTCTGAAAACAAAACATTGAATTAAATGGCATAAAAGCATAAACTTGACTAATGAAAGTTTTGCCATTCTCATTATGTTGTTTAAGTTTTCAAAATGCGTATACACTGCAGAGGTTGCAATAAAGGCTGATTACCGGTTGTCGGTAAGACCTATTACCGCCGTCTGTTCACCCTACATGCAGGCCTCGTGTTTGGGTTTCGCCTTTCAGTATAAAGTCGCCAATTACACCATTGGCAGCCGCTTATGGAAAAAATCATTGAAATCCTTGTACACTACATGTATACTGACATCAACATCACTCGTTACTCGTGACTCATGTTATAACACAAACAAAATCACCACATAATTTAGTGTTAACAACTGAGTTGAAAACGTAAATTAGCCACCGTTAAGAGTTAAAAGGCTGACGTTTCGAGCGCTAGCCCTTCGTCAGAGCGACGACGTTTTCAACTCAATTGTTAACACTAGATTACCTGCTATACTCTCCCACCGACGCAGCACCACAGTTTCTTTAGAAACTTACCCCCCTTAAATCACCACATAACTTAGAAAAAAAATCAATAAACGTTTAAAGTTATACACCCTATATACAATTTCTTACTGATTTACAAAATCAATCAGATTGTAAATTCCTGAAAAGAAAAATTTTGTAGAACTAACATTTTATTTTCCTCTGCCCTTTTGTTAAATTTTTCTCTCATAATCATATTACTACTACTATTAAGAGCACTATTAAACATTCACTTATCCAATCATTTATCCACTGATTAATCTATGTATTTCAAATTTTATATCCTATGTTGAATGTCGGCTCCTACCTGGTTTCAATGAGCAGGTCTGAATTACTAGAGTAGAGCACGGTCTTACAGATTAGTTCCTGTGTTGCTGGGATGGCTGTGTTATTAGAGACACACAGGTCGGACAAGTAATCAAGAAACCTGTAAATTAGATAAAACCTCAGTCCACAAGTATGTAGGTCTGGAAAAGACACTAATCCGTACATTCTCAAAAGTTCTTTCCAGTTTCTGTGACACGAGGACTGGATGGAAAGTAAGATCACTGCAGGTTAACCACAGAATTATTTCCCCTTTTTTCAGGTTTACCCTGACAGATCAATAATGAGTAATTTTATCCACGGGATACACAAGGGAACTATGAGAGGTAAGTGTTGAGCCCACGATCAACACATCACAATGATCCGGCCGGGGATCGACCCCAGAGCACCCGATAGGAAGTATTGGGTGCTAATTGGCAAGTTGGTGCGTCTCAACAGGTCTACAAGTCAATACCGAAATTCATAAAACTTTGCCATAAGCAGCACGACACGCTTTCATAGCATTAAGAGCCATAAAACTATTCTTTGGAAACTTTTCTACTTGCCTGCATTCTTTCTTCTTTCGAACTAAACTGACAAACGTTTCTATTTCTGTGCGAGTGATGTGTTTTTCCAACAGCTTTCTGTTGTTGTGGACCAGATCAGTTATGGTGTCTTCGGCCAGAATGTCATAGCCAATCTGGGCTTGCATGAAGCCAAACTGCTTGGCAATATACTCCTAAAACAAACATTACAATTCATCGTAAAAAGGATTGTGGTTCCTCGCTCTGGTGACGTACAAAAAGGACGATTTTAAA